GAGGACTTTAACCTCTTAACCTGTTAACCGAGCGGGACGTATGAATACGTCAAACCTAAACAATATCGGGTACGGGTATGATATATGAATACGTCCATGAAATATGTATTGCGCCCTGGAACGAGCGGCACGTATATTTTCGAACAACAAAGGTATTAGTCATCCATACATGTTTCGACATGAATTTAAGACACGGAGGGAATCAGTATCATTTTGCTATTGAGAGTGGTGGACGTGTTCTGGGAACTCCCCGGTTAACAGGTTAACGAGGAAACTAGTCTTTCCGTATGAGTATGTAGAGTGTTGGGAAAAACTTGAAGAAAAACTTGAGCAATTACCTTCGCAATAAAGTTTTCTTCAAAATTAAATAATGAGTAAATTTCTGAGAATAATTATTTTCATTCATCTAAAGTTTGGTATACTTTCGGTATTAAAACTCTGGGTGAATATTCCGATTTATATTTGTTAATAAAAAAGGTAGATTTTTATACAGAGTGTATCACCAGAGATGCACGTTTGAGATTTGCGGTGAAACGGTGCACAATTTCGAAAATCGGATGTCACAACCATTGAATGTTTTTTGATTGCGCATCGAATGGGCATATTATTATTGTTCGCTCAACTTCCGGTCGCAAATAAAAAAAATTATCTTCGCCATTTCAAATGATATTGAAACAAGTTAAATGCAAAAGTTGTAGAGCAAGAAAAAATAATAAAGATGAAAAAAAAATGCTGACGGATTGCACACATAATAAGAGAGATATTTGCGTCCGAATTTATCTCATTTTTTGACAAATTTCTGATACTGGAGGAACGCCTTAGCTTCGTGCAGCAGCTTCACGCCGAACTCACGATTCGCAATTGTTTTGAGGTAAGCGTTCAGTCAGACGCAAACCCGTACACTGCGGGACATTAATGCCGTCCTTGGGTGGAGCTAGTAGGAAGCATGAGTAGGGCGACTGGCAGTGGCGACTGGTGGCAAGCAAGCCAGGCCGCCGCGTGGAGAGGGTAGCCTATTCCCCGCGCCTGGGACGGCATGTCTGTCCAGAGTCCAGGCGTCCCGTATAAGAGTGTCTCAGACAATTTCAATAGAGTCCGCATAAGTCCCTCTCACTCGCAGTTAGTGGAGTCCCAGAGATAGCCTGCACTGTGTATAAGAGCGTCTCACTTGGGTCTAGTGCTAGTCGTCCATAAGAGCCTCTCACTCCAAACATTAGGCTCTCTTATTATAATCCGCAGGTCACTGCTGGCAGCGAGTGAGAGGGTCTTATGTGCGATTAGCACTAGACCCAAGTGAGACGCTCTTATACACAGTGCAGGATATCTCTGGGACTCCACTAACTGCGAGTGAGAGGGACTTATGCGGACTCATGTTGAAATTTTGTGAGACACTCTTATACGGGACGCCTGGACTCTGGACAGACATGCCGTCCCAAGCGCGGGGAATAGGCTACCCTCTCCACGCGGCGGCCTGGCTTGTTTGCCACCAGTCGCCACTGCCAGTCGCCCTACTCACGCTTCCTACTAGCTCTACCCAAGGACGGCATTAATGTCCCGCAGTGTACATTGGAATTCCTGGCACGGACCCGCCAAGTAGTACTCGAAATTGTTTGAGCGAAGCGCCAAAGCGTCGCTCGTTGCACACTTTTCTAGACACTCTAGACTTCTACGTCTGACACCTCATGAATGCTATTGAAAACTTAATAATTCTATACTGTTGTGAAAGCACCCTTATACTAACTGGAAATTCGGTATGAGCAGTAGCTTCACATATAAAGTGTATTTGATTGTGTTGTATATTCGTAAATTACTAATACCATACCGAGTACAAATAGGTAAAGAAGGTAATGCAGTCAGCGCCATCTGTCGTGTGAAAAATGTGATGGACATGCGAAGATGACGACGACGACGACGACAACGACGACCACCCTGGACTTCCACATCCAGTACCTAGATACAAGAAACTACGGAGTGGAACACTTGGACACCCTGGACTTCCACGTCTGACACCTAGTGGGCGTGGAAGTCCAGGGTGTCCAGGTGTTCCGCTCCGTAGTTTCTTGTATCTAGGTGTCGGGCGTGGAAGTCCAGGGTGTCCAGGTGTTCCGCTCCGTAGTTTCTTGTATCTAGGTGTCGGGCGTGGAAGTCCAGGGTGTCCAGGTGTTCCGCTCCGTAGTTTCTTGTATCTAGGTGTCGGGCGTGGAAGTCCAGGGTGTCCAGGTGTTCCGCTCCGTAGTTTCTTGTATCTAGGTGTCGGGCGTGGAAGTCCAGGGTGTCCAGGTGTTCCGCTCCGTAGTTTCCTGTATCTAGATGTCGCATGTAAAACTCCAGGGTGTTCAGGTATTCCTCTCCGTAGTTTTCTGTGTCCAGGTGTTGGATGTGGAAGTCCAGGGTGTCCAGGTGTTCCGATCCGTAGTTTCTTGTATCTAGGTACTGGATGTGGAAGT